AACCAAGACTTTTTTGAGAAAACTGCCAACATTTCCTTATCGATGGCGCACTCTCTAAAAACGCCATTTAGTTGTCTCTGGAATGATGTAAAAATCAGCGTTTTAACACCTTTTGCTTCCGAGAAATAAGCAAAAACGGGGCGGAAAACATGAAATTTTGGAATAATCTTGCACCTATTGAAATTTCGCTTTCTGGGTTAAAACTACTAGAATTTCTTCACCCATGTTGTTACGGCTGAATCGAGTTTTCAATTCTCTATCCAACGATGCCTCAAAGCGAGGCTCAACCAAAGCCTGGAGATGGAAACACAACGATTCTTGATGAGAACCTGCAGACCAAGTTTCAATAGTTGATTTTTTGACACAATCCGGTCACTCCACTGCTAAGAGCGAACTTTTCTTCATTGGGGCTGCTGTACAAATTTCAATATCTAAACCTTCCGCACTGAAGTTCAATGAAAGAGTGCACTCTTGTTTACGAGTGCAAAAAAATTCGCTCCTATTTTGCTGTTTTACATTTTTTATATTCCCTCTAAACACGTCATAAATTGAGTGATCGGCTTCGTTTCGCCGCAAGTTTTGCATCGGAAAGCTGTCAGTACATGAACCAGCATGTGTATAGAGAACATGTTTATGTATTATTCCCATCGGACGTTTGCATTATTAATGGACGTAAACCGCACTATTCGAATCTGGCGCAAGCCAATTACATGAGCGATGAAAAACTTTAAACGTTCACATCTCGCAAAATCAGTTCAGTTTGGTTTATTTTTTGGAAAACGATGCCCACGTTTAATCGGTCCAAACCAGATTTGCGGCCTGTTTCACTTCATGCGGCTGTTTTTTTGAATAATAATTGTGTCTGGAGTGGCAGGCGAGAACGTTATCTAAACGACCGAGGAAGCAATGAAACTGGAACTGTGCTGCCAAAGAAACGCGATCAGTTACAAACAGCTGGAATAGACAATGTAATTATTTTGGGAATTGTGTAAACGGGTGGGACGATCTGAAATTGCTAATCCTCGGAAAAGCAATGAGGTTTTTGCATAGAACATTTTACGTTTCCCAGCTGCTAAATATCAATTGAGTTCTCTGCTCTTCTTCCAACGCCCGCGATAAAAACACTTTGCTCATTCTGCGATTTTTCCAAATAAATTTAATGACATTAACGATATGTGTTTTAGTTGATAAAAGTTTATTAAACCATGGCCGCAGGATGCGTTCTGGTCGAAAAACCAGATGGAATTCAAAGCAGATTCCCGTGGGACGGTCCCAACTAATTAAATTTGCATCAAACCTATACACAAGCAAACGGCAAAGTCAAACAGTGGAGTTCAAACTAAGTAACTCCCGACGCTTTCGCAGGAAAAAAAAGTGTTTTGAAATTAAATTAAGCATTTCACACGGCGGGTTTGTGTGTACCGAATACAACAGAAGCGGACTTTCACTTCATCTTTGAAAAAACACTGCGATTTTACGGTTTTTCTAAACCGGTCAGAGATTACAAAATCCAGTTCTTCGCGTCTAAAACTTAAACTTTTGTACACTTAAAATCCGCCTCTGTTTCACCCAGCGGTGCAGCAAAAAACACAAATAAACAGCTTGTTAATTTTTAACAAGGGGAATAAGTAATAACGTGCCGGAGTTTGAAAAGGCGAAGGGAATTGAAATAAAAGGAAACTGGCGCAAATTGGACTAAGAATAATTAAAATTTGGTTTTCTTTCAAAGCAAGCTGGGATGGTGCAAAGGAAAGAACTGCGGTTAACAAAATAATTTATTTAATGGGCTGAATAATGGCCGACCTACTACTGGGCGTATTTTCCGCAATTACGAATAGAGCAAAAAGTGTGGGTAAATCGGGTAAAATATACTACATAGTTTTCACAGAACCCTCGTATCTTATGCCCTGCTGTCAAATCAGTATATTGTTCAATGGCCGATACGCATACGCGTGCACGATCTGCTCATTCAAAATTTCCAAAAATTCAAAAATGTCTTCACTTTATCGTGGAAATTTGCTAATTTTCGGAAACATAAACTTTTTAGTCGCCGTTTTATGTAATTTCCCAAGCCGATAGTGGGATTTTTACTTGAAAAACTCGAATTTGCGATTTTCAAACCGGTGGACGTTTACTGTCAAGAGGAAGTTGTCACCTCATACGTCCCGACGAGCATTTTCGCAAAACCGTTTTAAGCAAGTGACATTCGGGAGTTTTATGAACCAATTTTCAGGAGTTTGGGAATTTTGTAATTAACTATTTGGATATGGAAATCGAGTCTGTAATGGTGAGTAGAAAAATATTATCAGCGTAAGCTTTTAGGGCAAAGAGATTATTATTTGATATTAAACAATACAGGGTATGTATTTATATTAAGCGGTTGAATAGGAAAACTACTCGTACATTCCAAAAAATCTAAACTTTGTTTAAAAAGTTTTTTCCTCCCATTTCATTAATCACTGTAATAAAAACCACACAAAAACTCTCTCGGGAACTTTGCCGACTGTCAAGCTGACAGCAGAGCATAATTGACAGTTCGTGACTTCAAACTTCAAAATAGTCGGACCTTTGCAAAAATGTCCATTTATTTCGGAAATAAATTGGACACTTTAGGCACAGGAACATGAAATGTCATCTCATAGGAAACATAGTTGAACAAGTTACTTGCATGTTTAGACACCTGGACTATTTGCAATTTCAAATTTGAGAAAATTTCAACCGTTCATAACATTCATGGGTTCGCATAGTTTGCAAAGGAAACAACAGTCGCCAATAAGTAGGTGAAAATTAAAGACAATGTTGTTCAACGCGCGTAGAAGTACAGAAACTCTAATATTTACGTTGCCAGCGTATATTTAGAACCAATTTTATACATTGAGTCGGTTATTATTCGGTCAGTTTGGCAGTTATTTGCTGAAATTTCGATGGTTTACAGGAGTTAATTGACTCTGTTTAATCAATAAGAAACCGGCTTTAAATGGTTTCAATAAAAATGTTGAAAACCCGCTGATGCCACCAAAAGACCCAAAAACCAAATCAAGTGAGTTCGATGCCTAATGCCCGGTTGCACCGTTTGACTAAACATTGATTAAAAATTTAATCGTCGTTTAGTTTAAAAAATGTGTTGTACCGTCGCTTAACCACTGTTTTGTGTATTCTAAACAACGATTATATTAACCGGCACTTTGTGGCTGATTATCGCCCGATTAGGGACCGTTTATTATATTTTCTTGATTTTTTTTTAATACGGGTGATAGTGGCTATGGTCTTAGATCCTATTTGTTAGCCCTTTTAGTTAATCCTGCAACAAGAGCATACCTTTGGAAGTACAGTAAAGTCCGCTTATAATGAACCGGTTATAGTTAACTTTCGGTTAAAACGAACTTTTTTCCTTTAATTGAAACGTCGTCCATAAAGACCAACGTATTTTTTTACTGGTTATAGCGAATCCGTTTATAACGAACTTCCAGATATAACGATCACTTTTTAGGTTAGTTGTATATTCACTTTCCGTTTATAACGAACTTCCACGCTCTGCAAAACGAATAGTGTGGAGTTGTTTATATTAGTGAGAGCGAGAGACAGGCAGTGACTTGTTGTTTTTTGCCGCGTTATGTATGAAAATCGTTTTAGAATGGAAAAACAAAAACGCAAAGCTTTTTCACTAAATGAAAAGGACGAGATTATTAACAAAATAAAAAGTGGAGTAAAACAGAGTGACATTTGTAAGGAATTAGCACTTGGAAAGTCTACTGTTGCAACAATATGAAGAAACAGGCAAAACATTTTATCAGCGTATGACAAAACAAATGTTAGATGTAGGAAGTTAAAATTATCTGCACATGAAAAGGTTGACAAGGGACTTATTAAATGGTTTACTCAAAAAAGACAAGAAAACCTTCCCATAAGTGGCAGTATTTTGCAAGAAAATGCTAGTCAAATGGGGAGTAAAATCAAAAACAAAGAGTTTGCTTGTTCTAAAAGTTGGGAAGAGCGTTTCAAGAAGAGGCATAATATCAGTAGC